CACCACCACCGGCGCCCAGACCCTACTTCTCACCCTGCACCATCTAGAGTTAACCCTACCGTCGAGTAGGGTTAAAATCCTGACCCTACTGTAAATCTAGAGTCGACCCCAAGTAGGGTCTAGGGTCGGCGGAAAGTAGGGTCAGGGTCTAACCCTACTGTAAATCTAGGGTCTGACCGTTGGGGAAAGTAGGGTTAGGGTCTAATCCTACCTCGACATCCAGCCAAACTCTAGATTGGTAGGGTCTACAAAGTAGGGTTTAGCCCTAGATTTGCGGTAGGGTTAGACATTTTGCCTTCCACAGACAAGACCAAGAGGCCTTGAGGTCTGAGCTTCTGCATTTAGGGGTTATTTGAGGCGCTCTACAAGCCTATTGAATAATCTGCTCCAGGGTTAAGCCAACTTTGCTGAGTTCCCCAGCCAACAAAAAATTCAAAGCGTCATATCTTGCTCACGTGATGTCCAACCAAAGGGACACCGTATAGTACCTTGAAGCGCTTCTCAAGGGCTATCCAAAACTGCAAAGACCTGCAAGATTTATGGACCAATTTTTCCCAACCCTGCCGGGAACACCTATCTAACCCTAACCCTAACCCTAACCCTAACCCTAACTGTGCGTCGAATCTGCACCTATAGCCCGCCGCTTACTGTATCTGCATGCAGATTGCAGTCGTGATCTTGTGTCTGATCATTGCCCGAGCTGTCAGCAGTCGCAACGCAGATGTGATGAGCGGCAAAGACGCAACATCGTCCATGCATCAGCAGTCAGAGTCTTGAGTAGCATTCGAACGCGAGAGCGGCCGGAATGGCTGCGTGTGCAGTCACCAGTGCATGGCCTGACCGGCTGGCAAGCATCTGCTTGATTCGTTATTCGTGATTGGGTCAGACCCATTCGTGATTCATTCAATTCACGATTCACGATTGCTTCTTGACACGGCCTTGCAGCTATTGTGTCACGTGACACGCGCATCACCTCAGCTTCATGCACGACGTTTGACTAGCGTCTTCGATCATCGTCGCAATCCATTAGTGATTCGTGATTGTGATTGTGCATTTATTGATTCACAGATTCACAGATTGCACCCGCGAGTCAGACACTTTGCTTGAATGCGAGAATCGGCGCCACTCGATCATCAGTCAAAGTCCCCCGTCCTCGCAGCTTCCCCTCGCAGCTTCCCGTCCTCGCAGCTTCCCGTCCTCGCAGCTTCTAAGGCGGTCTAGAATACGCACCGTCTTCCTCCCTCCTCGCGGGACATGCAGCGGATTGAGTTGAGCCTGGGCGTGCCTTTACCGGACAATCATGAATGCTCACCTCTTGAGAGATTGCCACTGGGCTTGGCTTGCCCAGCTGCTGATCTCCCGTGCGCCACTTGCACTTGCGGTGGCTTGCGGTAATTGCGGCGGTCTTCAAATTTGCGATCTCGTGGCCTCCACCGCTCGCTCGCTCGACATGCTGTTGTGGCAAGTGCAGGGGTCGGTTTCTACAATCTGCAAAGCTACTCGATCAGGACGACTGCAACCAGCTCAACGCTACCGCATGGTCCAGCACTGGTGCCCATCCACATCCTCTCGTTCTATAAAGGGATATTTGTGAAGACCAAAAGGGAACGTCTCTAGAGCCATTACGACATCCACGATCCTCGCCTCAATGGTTCCATCCACGTCGCGATCCTTAAACGCTTCGCAAATGCCTCTTTTCTTTGAAAACCCTTCCCCCCGTTCTGAGCCCATCCAGTCCATCTGCTGCAGTAAGTGTTCGAGGCTGTAATCATCTTTCATTGGTCTCCGCTCACCTCCACAAGTGTACCTTTTCCTCGCACATAGTTGGTGCTGGCTACGTCGGTGGCCCAACATGCGCTGTGCTTGCATGGAAGTGTCCGAACATCTGCGTCACCATCGTCGACATCTCGCAAGAGCGCATCGATGCTTGGAATAGCGATGAGCTTCCCATCTTTGAGCCCGGATTGGAGGAGATTGTCAAGTCTCGTCGAGGGAAGAATCTCTTCTTTTCGACAGACATCGATGCTGCTATCAGTGAGCAGATTTTCACGTTTCCGGCGTGCTCGATTGAACGCTGAATCGAATGCCTCGTGGATCTGGCAGTTGCTGCCGATCTCGTATTTGTTAGCGTCAACACTCCCACCAAGACGAGAGGCGTGGGCGCCGGGTATGCTGCGGATCTGCAATACGTCGAGGCTGCCACGCGACGCATCGCGCTCCTATCCACCAAGAGCAAGATCATCGTAGAAAAATCGACGGTTCCTTGTCGCACAGCCGAATCCATGCGAGCGATTTTGGATGCTACATCTCCTCGTCCTGGCGTTCACTTCGACATTCTGTCGAATCCGGAGTTCCTTGCTGAGGGAACGGCAGTACAAGATCTCTTGAAGCCTGACCGCATCCTCATTGGCGCTCTCAACACCAAGAGCGGCAAACTTGCGCAGGATCGCTTGGCGAATGTCTATGCTACCTGGGTCGAGCGTAGCGCTATTATCACCACCGGTCTTTGGTCAAGCGAGTTGACAAAATTGGCCGCCAATGCGCTCCTCGCTCAGCGGATCTCGAGCATCAGCTCGCTCGCAGCAATTTGCGAGAAGACAGGCGCCGAGATCGACGAGGTAGCTCGAGGCTGCGGCAAGGACTCGAGGCTGGGTCCGCACTTTCTTAAAGCCGGCCTGGGCTTTGGAGGCAGTTGTTTCCAGAAGGTGAATGGTGCTGCAAGCGTGATCGAGACCGTCCTGGCACTGACTGGTCACATTGTGCTGGCATCGATCACAGGACATCTTCAATCTCATATACCTCGCCGAGACTTTCTCTCTTCAACCTGTGGCGGACTACTGGCGCCAAGTACTCGTGATGAATGAGTGGACAAAGGCTTCTTTTTCGCGCACCATCATTCGTCATATGTTCTCGACGGTTAGCAACAAGAAAATTGTGAGTGACTTGGCCCTCTGATCGGGCCAAAACCACGCTCAAGCTGGCTGTCGACTCTATGCAGGCCCTTCTGGGCTTCGCCTTCAAGAAGGACACCGGCGATACCGTGAGTTATCGCTGACTTGAGAGTCCGTGTTATGACTCGCTGCTCAGTCGAGTCCTTCCGTTTGCCAAGCGCGAGTCTCCTGCCATCAGCATTGCTCGCGACTTGCTCGTTGAGGGAGCGGAAGTGTACATTTACGATCCGAAAGTAAGCGAGCGCAACATGCGTCAGTGCTTGGGCGCCTTCAGCAACTTCCACTTCTCTTCTTCGGTGGAAGCTGCTGCCTTGAACGCCTCTGCAGTCGTGGTTGCCACAGATTGGGACGAATTCAAGCCTAGTAGTAGTAGCGGTAAGACCGCCGCTGCCATCGACTGGACCAGCATCTACGCCAACATGAACCGCCCAGCATTTGTCTTTGACGGTAGAGGCATACTAGATACCGCCGCGCTCCAAAACATTGGTTTCAAAGTTCACACCGTTGGTCGAGGCAACTTGGTTGACACGCTGTCGTGACTCGAGACCCGCTTCCTCTTTTTCGCCTTTTGCTCGCGCTTGTATTTTGCTTTCCCCATTCGATCTCCGCGTCTTGGTTTCCGGGTGGAATTTGGATGTAGATCCTCTCTCGACTCTTCCAAACGCGCCGTCACGGTATTTTGGTGAGAGCTCTTTTACGACTAGCCGCTCATCATCAGATTGAGGCAACGTAGTCGAAAGAACGAATTTGCCATGTTGCTGCGCTGTGCTGTGCGTGTATGCGGTTCGGGAGGCAGGCACCCCAGAACGAAGCATACGGGCATGCGCGTACATGAATGCGTGCATCCGTGCATCCGTGCATACGTGCCTGCACAGGCCGCAGCAAAAACCTCATCACAGAAGGCGAAGGCGCCAGACGGGAGTTGCTCGGGCCGGGCATTGTGATTCACATGTAGTCGAGCAGCGACGGCGGAACAGACACACGCAGAGAGATCCGGCCATCGACACCTCGACGTGGGGTGAGCCTGCAGCATTCTTTGACTTGCAGACCTGTCAGGAAGAGCCGTGGGGCGATCAAATGATTGTAAGTTGGACGAGAAGTTGAGGCAAACTGAGCACGTGCTGCTGCACACGTAACGCGGCTTACAAAAGGGTGGCATCTGTCGCAGGTGCTCAACATTGCTCTGTGCGGTGATTGGGGTACAGCTACTTACGAAGCTAGTGGCTGCGCTCCACGATATCCTTCCCGCGCCGCTCAAGTTGCTCAAGCCCCCGAGTCTTTTTCCGAGGCGTACTGGTCATTGAAAAGCATGCGCATCTACACCAACGGCATCAGCATCGACGATAGTCAAGACACCAACGGAGCCGCAACCACGACCACTACCAATCCAAATTCTGCTCCGTATTCTGGTGTCTTCTCTCTGCTTTCCCTTTCTGTCATCTTTCTCGCAACTGCTACGACTCTCCTCGCCTGATGTATAGCGCCATTATTTTCGCTCTGGGCCTCGCCCGTCTTCACGTGAGCTTATCTCTACCGTGCAGTTGTCATCAAGATCGGGCACTTAGCTTAGCACATTTGTGTGAGAGCGTTCGTATAGAATTTTGAGTTGTGCATTTGTGCAAAAAGCGCGTCACAGTGAAGGTCCTTCACACTACCGTCGGTCATGGAGTTCATTGTCACATGAGACTCGGTCGGACATGGAGGATCTGAGAGCATACTCTGACTCTTTTCTATTTGACACTCATAGCACGATGACGAGCTCTGCGCAAGCCATTGATGCTCTCACCAGAGTTCTAGCCTGAGAGAGTCACTTCAGCTCGATCCAAGCAGGACTTGCTTGCGGGAGCGCGGACACGAGCATGGGGCTGTTGCCGACTTTTCTTAACTTCTCACACAGCTACAGAGCCATACGCGGGGGCAGCGCGACGCGTATTGATCGATTCATGACTGATTTGTCAACTGCCCCACCTCAAAATATCGTGAATGCATGACAAGCAGCAAGCAAAAAGTCGTATGTCTGAGCGAACAACGTGGATTTGGACGCGTCTGATGTACGCGCGCGCGACGCATGGACTTACCTTGATTCGTGATTGACGCGCGCGACGCGCGCAGCCTGCAGTGATGAGTGTGAGATCAAATTTGATCCCTATGGGCAACTTGCTTTCTTCTCTGCTTCTGTTCCACCGCCACCATCACTCTGCCCTTCCCACATCAATTATCCAACCACCATCACTTGGTCCTTCAACATCAATATGTCAAAGCAAGCTACCAAGCCCAAAGCAGGACCAGATGTCTACCAGCTCAAGAGAAACTTAGCTCTTGAGCTTGCGGCTTCCAGTACTGAGCAACATGTCCTTCAAGTCACACAGCACCAGTATGATGGATGTACAAGCGCTACAATGCTCCCAACTCTTGCAGAGCACAAGGCTGGACAGCCATCAACAGCCACATGGGCAAGCATCACTGGAGCTTCATTTGTTGAGGGAGGGTATGTGTTGGGGTGGGCTCAGATAGCCGGGTCCTTGCACATACAGGAGGGGGCCAGGAGAGGCGCGCAAGCTCTTTCAAGCTTCCGCAGCAAGGGGTAAAGGTGGTGCAGGGTTTGAGGGGCAGGGATGAGGCCCAGGAAATGGAGGTTTGGGAAATGGTGGCTGTGGGGGTAAAGCCGATGGAGGGAAATGATTTGGAGAGCTCTGCCTTGTTGCTGGTTCAGGCAACTCCCCAACTAGTACTTGTACTAGACCAAGCAAAAGCGGGAAATCACCCTGCTTTGCAAGGTATCCCTTTGGAGCAGGGTTACTGGATCTGCGAGCCGGAGAAAATTGGTTGGCACCTTTTGCACGACAATGGACTCTTGCTCGCAATCCAAATGGAGACCCTTGGCTCGCAAGATGCCGCCTTTGCAAATGACTGTTGCAGGCGTGTTGTGGCAACTTCTATTCAATCCCGCAAGGAGATTGAGCACCACGGCACAAGGGTCTTTCATGGGAATGCGGTTGGGATTGGCTACCGCAAGGAAAAGGCGGGAAATGTGGGCCTCTACCGGAATTGGAGGAAAAAGATGGTGAGTGGGGGCGCAGGCGCGTGAGTGAGTGACCACGTGCGCTGACGCTGGGCGCGCACATAGTCGGTGGAGGAGCAGGATGAGCAAGTGGTGAGGGAGGACGCATTGCTGGACTACACGGCAGGACTCTTGGCAGGGGTCATGCCGGGTCTCCATAAAGAGCACGTGAAGAGTGCGAGGGATGCTGGCCTGCCTCTGTACAGGTATAGGGGGTATGCGGTGCAGGGAGCGGCCTGCGCTGGATACGTTTCAGGACACCACACGGTGAGTTGGGCACGCGCGCACATGCCGCGTGTTCTCGTACCGCGTGTTCTCGTACCGCATGTTCTCGTAACTGACCGCGCGTTCTCACTTGCACGCCACGCTGCAGGACCCTCAAGATCCCGATTTCACTGTTGGAATTGACCTCACAATGGACAAAGATTGGGGGAAGCTACCTCCTGGCGCCCACAACTTTGCCATTGCTCCTTTTGGGCTGGTTATGAGGAATGGGCCCGGTGTATTTATGGTTTGGAGGGGTGGTGTGCCGCATGGAACGACGGTCCCGGGGGATTTCTCACAGTTCGAAAAGGTCACGGAATTGGCGCACACCTTTGGTTGCGCCATGTATATGAAGCCTCCTGCCCTTAGTCGCGGTTTCAAGCAGTCCAAAGCCCTCAAGACGCTATCTAAAGATTCCAACCTCCCCAATACCTTTGATGTAAATCACCCCCTTCCTTGGTTTCCCGAATCGTGAATGCCGTGCGTCGTGCGGGTATGAGTATGCGCGTGCGTGCGTGTGATGATGCGTGCGTAAATGCTTGCGTGCGAGTGGGCGCGCAAGCATTGGCGCGCCGCGCTCGAAGAACGGCAGGCAATCTGGCAACTGGCCGACTGGCAAAATCCCCGCCCGAGATGACTCGCACAGCATTCATTCGAAGCCAGCGTGTCAAGCCCGATCACACGACTGCTGTTGTCAAGATCCAAACACAGAGGCATCATTCGTCGCTTCTTCGCGCTGTGTCCGGAATTAACTCTCGTCATATCACTGTGTGATATGTTCTTCCACAACCTTCGCATATTGGCGGCAGTGTAATCTAGCGGACAAAGGTCCTCAGGCAAGGAGAATTTTCTTTGCCACAAGTGAGGCAATACACTGCGTTCGAGGCACACTGGTACAAAGACCACTAAATTGACCTTGTAAATTACGCGTCAGACACAGAACGGCTTGCGCATAGAGTATGGTTTATGCCGCATCGTAAACTCTTTTTGGCGTCACAACTCAAATTGCACTCGATGTGCTTTATTTTCTCGCACAGTATCGTATGTCCAAAACAATTGTCCTGCCACGGTGTGCGCAATCGCGTTCTCTTCCCTGCTGACACATCTTGAAGCTTCGCGACAATTCTGCCATTACCACAAAAGCGTTCGCGCAAGGAGGTTCTGGCTGCCCAATCATTGGCTCAGCTGAAGCTTTTCACGCAAGGTAGACATCGACAAGCCCGTGGTTTGAAAGTAGCATCGTCATCTCCGGGGAGGTCGAGTCTCCGAGTTCATCTTCTTTGAATTCTTTATCATTGGCGCACGCGGACTGATGATGACGTGGACGAAACGGATAGATGTCTTTCCTGAATCTGGTAAACATCATGCACTTCACTCTGCGACCTCCCGAGAAAGGTGAAAGGTTCATATTTGTTCTGTTTTGGAGCAAATTATTGAGCGTAAGGTATGATTACGGGGCAGGTATCGAGACAAATAGCCAAATCACGCTACTTCATAAGGGTCTAGACGAGCGAAGAAGGACACAAAGATTCTACCACTATGTTCGATTAAAGAAGAGTGAGATCTGGTGGACAAGAGGACACTCTTGAAGTCGTTCGCCGTCCTCAAAATTAAGCTTGGTAGGCTTGCGAGATTCGCAATATAGCCGGTGAAAACCCCTATTTTGTGTACTGGTGAGCTCTAGACTTGCTGCACGCCCAGAGCATGCTGTGCGCTCAGAGAACGATGGAACATTTTGTTTAACAGCCTAGACTTTAGCGCTTGACATCCATTCTTACGACTAGAGCGTCTTGAAGTACCACTGCATGACTGTTAGAGCAGAACGTCTTTCACAAGCCCCAAGAGTACAAGGGTAGAATCCAGTTTTTTTGCGCACGTTCCCGTCACAGTTAAAAACTCTGGCATCGGCAATATTCATCCTAGAGCAAGCGCGACAAAGTCAAGTACCCGCACGCGCTTGACTTTAATTGGTGTGTATGACCAGCTTCAGTCTTCGTCAAGGTGTTGCCTGAGAGCTGCAATCTTACATTCATGGTATACCAGCGAACGGGTCAGATTCAGAAAAACAAACGCCCGTCGCACGAAGGGCAGCGTTCTGGTTCCACTAAACCTTTGAGTCACAAAGTCACAGCAGCGGAAAAAAATACGACTAATTCCAAGCTCAGTCACTGGCCAGACACAGATCACGGATCTAATCTTGAGAGGCACGTACAGAAAGACAATTTTCACTTGCTCTCCTTTCTTAAGAGGCAGGCCGATTTAGAGTCCGGACTTTCTAAAGCTGAAAACAAAACAATAATCGAGCGAGGAGGCACAATTCAGCAGAGCTGCTAGCTTCGAAGCTCACGTTTATCAAAAAGTTGAGGCAAGTCACCCTCTACCATCGTGGTGTGACTGAAATTATTGCTCGAAAACGCTTCTAGCGGAAAGCCTCCTGGTCGAATGCTGTTGATACTCGTTACCTTGATTGATGCGATGCGTGTATAACAGTACACGCATGCATAGGGCGCAAGACGTTTCTGAGAACCTCTTTTCGATTTTCCACATCATCCGAAGCCGCATTTGCAGCCCGCAGTAGTGCTCTGAGGCACCCACAGCGGGGTGCGACCACAAACGTGTGTACGATACACACTGGCCACGAAATGGGTGTTTCGGCGACAAATTTATGGTCGCATGGTCGGTCTATTTTGAAATTCGATGGTTTTCATCCTTTGCTCCCTATGCCAGAATGATGAGCTGCGCTCTGCTTAGTAAGCACTGTTCCAAGACCGCATTTATTGGAGAGCAGAAATCAGCATTGTCAAGTCTTAGAATAGCTCCAAAAAGATCCGCTGCAAACGGATACCACGGCCCTTATATGAGTAAGTATTTGGTGCAAAGTGGCAAAAAATTGCATCTGCAGGCGCGGCTGGCGTGCCCTGTACCTGTAGTGCAAGTACCAAGTGTCACGCATCTCAGAACTGTTGAAACGCGCCGTGCTTGTCGAGTGGACAAGGATCGACGTCTTCGGGCTTCCTGAAACACACAGCGTCTGGTTGACTTTGCATTTCTGCTTCCGTTTCTGCGCGTCGCGACTAGCAGACACAGCGTGAGCGTTGACTGACGCCAAGCAGCTTACGGGCTCATGCATTGGTGTAAGCAAGTATTATCTGGACAGCAAAGCAACATTGATGCGCAACGCGGCACATGACAAGCAGATCGGGGGTGGTCCGGTGTAGGTGCGAGTCAGAGTAGCTGCACCGTAATTGGCATGGATAGAATGGAGAATCTATCGCTTTTGCTGTATCGGTATACAAGTGTGAGCAAATCACTATTGTTTACAGCAACGGAACAAATCGATGCACTTTGTAGCAACGGCAATCCAAATGCCACAAAGGCTAGCAATATGGATAGGCGGAGGTCCCTCTCATTTTTTTTGTCTTTCCCCTGTAAATCACTTCTTGCTCGGCTGGGTTTAACCACATCAACATACCGAATCACTGAAGTGCTGAAGTCGACGACAATTCTGCCTGTTGCTTCTGTCAGCAATCTAGCGCGTGGCCTTTGTGACCTTGCAAAGTCAAGATAGCGCGGTTCCAAAGCTTACGGATCAATATGGCCCAGGCTGAGTTGCGTGCGGGCGAAGTGGTTCGTTTGGATCAAGCGACACCTTTTGTGTTGACTTCCTCATGTGGGAGCGGTTCTTGCCGCGCCAGTTTTGCCGCATAGCAGTGCTCATCAAGTCTACGGGCAGCGACGACGAGATGGAGCACTCATTGTACTAGAAAACAAACAAAGAGCACAATGGCGGACAGTCAGTTGCGGGCAACATTTCAGTGCGAGCGGGCATTTCTTGTAGGTTCATCTTTTGTGAGGGGCTGAAAGCTCTTCAGCGACTAGGAGACAAGGTCGAGCGGCAATCTGCAATCAGGGATTGCCTTTGTTTCTGTGTGATGTACACACCAACAAAGCCTGTGGCCAATGGATTTCGGGCAAGGTAATCATGATGATCAAACGTGAAGTCAAAATTGGATGATGGCTCATAAAAGCAGCTGGAAGGGAGAAAGTGCCGCCGCATCAAAAGCTGAGCAGATCGCCGGCGAGAGATCAGGAGCAATTGAAAGAAGAAAGGATGGACTGTAGGAACAAGTGTCAGGGCATTCGGGCTGGAGAGAAGGGTCATGCAGCTTGACTTTAAAATTGCAAATTGTGACACGTGAAACGTGAATTGTGGATCGTGATTGACAGAGAGGAGGTGTCAGTGGAGCGTTCGTCGCGCCTTAACTCTCTGAGTGATTTTCCGGATGCCTAGTAATCCAATTCGCGAGTGTGCTCAATGCAGGTCGGCCTGACCGCGCCTCGAACCGCGCTTCTTCACCGCCTTTGCCAAGCACGTTTGCGCCAAGTTGAGGTTTGCTAGGTGGCTGTGGCCGAGTCGCCCAACAAACTAAGCTGGCTGGCCCTTGCATAATCCCAGACTGGACGAGTGGGTTGGCGAGAAGATGCTGCAATTTGACTTAGACAAGCTGTCAATGTTGAAGCCAAACCAGGATTCCCTCAAAGAGTGTATTCAAGAGTAGCGAGCAAATGGAGCTCCGTATGGTGGCTTCGCCGTCCTTTCCAGCATGGCTGACAACGTCTTCCTCGTAGTCTTCACCGGTTTTCTGGCACAAAATTGTCGAGAGTCTCGGAGATCAGCACGTAAGCTGAACGGGCCATGAAAGGGTGAAAATACGCTCCAACGTTGTCCCCTCGCATCATGGCTCGCGTACGCACTAGACCACATCCTCCCGCACACCACCAAACAGTCCAGCTGGGTCTTGAGAATGCCGGCCAACACCACGTCCGGGCAAACAGCACCTCGGCCTCAGACCGCCCGAGCACTAGATGCGAGCATCGATACACACAAAATACCAGGAGCAACTACAAGGAAAGCAGCGTGAAATTCCGTCCGAAGCGAGCGAAATTTACTGCTCATGTTTCTGCGGTGATTGTAGGTCTATTCGACAGTTCGATGAGTTCTAATTGTAAATGAGGGTAGCCAGTCTATGCAGTTGCCAGATACTCGTGATACAAGCGAACGCGCGAACATGCCGAGGTGTAAATAGATAGGGTCGAAAGATTGGACCTGGATCATCGCGGATCCGAGTTTATGTCATCTAGCTGTCGTGATCACATGCTCGCAAGCACGCCTCAATGCATCGCAACGCCTCCATCTTGTTTGCCGCCCGCGGCTGCTACCCAAGCACCATTGGCCAGAATCAGGCACGCGCCCGCAACCGACAGAGGCTCGAGGGGAGTGCCGAGCAGCAAGACCTGGAAAGTCGTCGCGAAGAAAATTTGCTGCAAAAGTAGAAGCAGGTCAAAGGTCAGGCGATGCCGTAAGCAGGCTTCCTAACGCAGATCGACTCACCAGATAACTCATGACCGCCGCCCTGCCCGCTTTCTCTCGTTGCAAGCCAAGCTTGATATTGCGAGATGAGAAGGTCAGCTTCACAACATTTGCGTTACAAGCGTCTCGTCTCTCACCGTTTGAAAGACTTGTGCACACAAGCTGAAGATTCCGACGCCGACGAGGAAAAAGGCGGACCTGTAGCAGAGTGGTGGTACTTATTTCAGAGGCTGCGCTTGCATGAGAAACTTGACCCGTGCCGTGTCACTCACAATGGGGTGCTCGGGACTACAAAAGGTTGTCGGAGAATGAGCATACAGGCGAGAGATAGCGTCCATGAAGCACCGGAGAAATAGGCTGCGCAGAGGGAGGGCAACAGAGGCCTTGTGAGTCACCAAGATGGGCAGCCGCTGCATCGGATGATCTTGTGGGTACGCACTGATAGAATGATACGTGCTCGCACGCCTTCCGATGAGACGCTGAGCGACCCATGCCACTGCCACTGTGGCGACGCTTGCGAGTGCAGCAAGCACGCCGATGAGCTGTTTGCTGCCATCATCGACTTGTGGAGAGTGCGGGAATGGATCGTCTGGTTGAGGGGGTGTGTCGCCAGGTGCGGCGGGTGGTGCGCCAGGTTGCCCAGCGCTGCGAGGGCCAAAGATGAAAGCAGGTCTCGCGATCAAAGCAACGCCCAGCAAAGAGGAAGCGCCAGCAATGCGCTCGCGCACGGTAAAGGGCTCCGCGAGGAAGATGGTTGCCAGGATGCCGGTGGCCAGTGGAGATAGGAAGCAGATGGTCGTGGCATCGGACAGTGCGAGCATCTGCAGACTGATGTAGAGGAACAACGTGGACAGCCAGCCAGCAATGCCTCTGACTGCCAACGCGTAGCGCACTGCGCCAGGCGGGCCCAGCAAGCTACGCAGGCGTCGAGGCACCGATCGGGTGAGAGATGAATGACGCGGTCAGCATCGCATGCGAGACTGTGCTGACTCAATCTGTGCTGCCACTCACATGTGCTCTGTGCGTGCAATCTTCATGACTGCCAGGCATGCGACCCAGATGGTGAGCGTTTCGACAAAGACGACCTCGAGCGCTCCCAGAGGAGGGTTGAGACCGTCACCATAACCCCTGCCCGGAGCTTCTGCGCCTTCGCGAGCGTCGAGCAGGGTGACGAAGAGGTTCATGCAGCTGTAGCAGATTTGGCTGAGGGCGATGAGGATGAGACCGAGATTGCTGGAGGGCGTGGGCGATACGGACAGCATGGCTTCGCGCAGCGTGATGGAAGTCTCGCCCGCTGCAAAAGGCTCCTCCATGACCGATGCGTGGGTGCGGGCCAAGCTGAAGAGGGAAGCATCGCCGCGCAGAGATGGCGCCGCGTAGTAGCGATTCAGCTCATCATGACCGTGACTCGCACTCTGACCGTAGTTCATGGGATGACGAGAGATGAGTGATGAACGCTCGGACAGCGAGGCGTGATCATCTGCCTCCAGTGCTTGACGCAGCGAGAGGCCAGATGCTGCTGCTGCGGCTGCTGCGGCTGCCGCTCCGACGCGGTCATCGTCCGAGTGAAAGGGACGGTTGCCGGCGAGGATGCCGCTTTGTGCTTGTCTGCGAGTGCGACTGCCACTTCGACTGCCACTCTGACTCATGCTCATCAGACTGGCCACCTCTGCCTCTGCCTCTGCCTCCTCGTCCAGCGGCTCAAAGGCGTTGGCCGCGCGAAGGTAGTCGTTTGGCGCGAGCATCTGGACAGCGTCGTGTAAGAATGAACTGGCATTGCTGACGTAACTCTGTCCCAGCGCCAAGTAGCTCTCGTTGGCGGCGTCTGTATGTGCGGCATCGTGATCTTGATCGTCCGTGTATGATGCGCTTTCGGTCAGAGTGTCGCCTCTGGATTCACGTGACTGCAAGGAAGAGATGGAAGCGGTCATGCCTGCCGCGCCAGCGCCTGTGCCTGTGCCTGTGCCTGTGCCTGTGCCTGTGCCTTCGCCGATGCCCTCTTCCCCTCCCGCACTCTCTCCTTCTGCCTCCTCTTCTCCCTCAGATGAGGAGGATTTGCTGCTGACTCGGAGCATCGGACTCGACACCTCTCGACTGTCTGCAGCAGCAGCAGCAGCAGCAGCTTCCCTACGTCGATAGGCATAGTCGATGATCTCTATGCGACCGGGAGGTGCAGCGCCACGAGATCCCGTCGCGCCGCTTCCCACAGCCACCTGAGCGGGCAGCATGGGTGGCGGGTCGCTGGCCAACAGCTCTCTCAGCGTAGTCGCGTTGGCAACGGCGTGCTGGTGCTGAGGCTGAGGCTGAGGCTGAGCCTGAGGCTGAGTGTGCGCCTGAGCATCCGCAGCAGTGGCGTCCGCAGCGGCAGCCGGCATTGCCATTGCCATTGCCATTCTGCCTTGCGATGGGCTGGTGCTGGCTGATCGCGCATTGCGTTCGCGTTCGCCGCCACTCGCACTGTGACTCCTGTCATCGCTACTCGTCCCTCTTGCTCGGCCACTCTGACTCTGACTCCTGGATGCAGAGGCGGATCGCTGCATGGCGTGGGCGTGGGCGTGGGTGTGGGCGTGGGCGTTGCGAGTTTGTGTAGGCGATGTCGAGACTCGCGACTGAAACGAGTGTGAGTCAACAATCACGAGTCTTGAGTCTGATGAGCGTGAGACAAGAAAGCGTGTTTCTCCTAGGCACATTTTTGATTCACAATTCTTGATTCAAATTGTGATTCGCACTCTCGCGATGTAAGATTCAAATTCGAAATCATTCCTTTTCCGGGCTGGCTCAGCAACGCGCTCTTGCACTTTTTCTGATTTTGACTCGCACTGCCGCGGCCCCTCTCTCGACCGCACACGTGATTCAAAGTCTTGAGTTAAATTCGAATTTCCCCGGCCATGGTCACGTGGGATGTCGACATCCTGCGCGCAGTTTTGAGTCTGGTGAGTCTTGAGTAGAGGTATAAGTCGATCAGTCAAGGGCGCGAGACGCCCATTCCAAAGCGCATTAGCCCAAACCGAGCTGCTGCTATCCAGACTAATCTTAGTCTTGATTGTGACCCTGAACACTCAAGACTCAAGACTCATCAGACTTGTATATAAAGTTGAGTGCCGTACCGGTACAGAGCTGCGCTCCAGCCGGTCCCCCTCCCCTGGAACGCGCGCGCTTTGCTTGGACGTGCTGTGCTGCCGCGTTGCTGCATATATGCTGCCTCACGTGATGCTACAGCTCGCTGGGTCGACTGTGAGTGCGTGATGCGCCGGCGTGTGAGATGCTGTGCGCGAATTTTGATTCAGATTCATGATTCATCAGATTCTTGCATGGTGCTGCTGCTGCTCGAAGCGTGCGTGGTGCCCCCATCAGCTGATGCGCCGACGCGTGCGTGCGTGCGCGCGCGTATGCTGCCTGCTTGCTTGTGTGTGCAACAGCCGCGGCCGTCAGAGTCGTGAGGGCAGCAGGCAAGGCATCAGGCACCTCAGCTCGCATGCAAAGATCAAACAGGCAGGAGGAGAGAGGTTGGCGTACAAGGCGCGGGCAGGGGCAGGGCAGGGCAGGCTGGGCAAGCAAGCAAGCAGGATCGATCGCACGCACGCACCCACGCACCCACGCGCCTCATACAACGTACGTGTGTTCAGCTTCGTGGCCCATCATCGTTCACTCATCACTCGCAAACGCCAATCCAACATCGAAGGCAGAGATCAGCTCAAACTCACCACTGCACCACTCACACCACTCTGGTGTCGGCAAAGTCACTGTGATCATCCATTGATTGCCTCTCCTGTAGTCGCCCCTCGACCCTACCCCTCACCCCACCGCTGTCCGCTATCAGCGCACAAGCTCAGCAGCCACGCAAGCACGCAAACCAAGCTGCATCCACACTCTCCCCAAGCATGTCCAGCAACGCTCAATCCGCATCATCTTCGACAGCAGCAGCTGCAGCGCCTGCAGCTACGCAAAAACCATGGCAAGCCAAGTTGGTGCTGTTGGGTGAGGCTGCTGTGGGCAAATCATCAGTCGTGCTCAGGTTCGTGTCAGACGAGTATACCGAGAACAAGGAGCCCACCATTGGCGCTGCATTTCTGACTGTGAGTGCGAAGTGCGAATAGGGGAGCATATATGCGTGCTTTCATTGCTGCCAAGCCTGAGCCTCGCATGTGGCGTCAATGTGAGCCGCTCTCTGGAGTCGGAGAGCCCTTGACGCCAATGCCGCGTTTCGAGTCGGGCCCCAATCTCGCCTTTGGGGTCTCTGATGTAGCCAGCGCTTGTCGCTCCTCCTCGCTGATACCGATGGTCTTTCTCCCTTCCCATCCAGCAAAAATGCCGGCTAGACAATGCGATCATCAAGTTTGAGATCTGGGATACCGCCGGTCAGGAGCGATTCCACAGTCTGGCCCCCATGTACTATCGAAATGCACAAGCAAGCGCAGTCGTCTACGACGTCACAAAGGCTGTGAGTGTGCATGGTTGCGTTGCTCCACGACATGTCTGTTGAGCAAGTCGCACCTTTCCCGCCCTTTGCACAGAGCTCATTCGAGAAGGCCAAGTCGTGGGTCAAGGAGCTTCAAAGGCAAGCGAACCCAAACATCGTCATCGCATTGGTGGGCAACAAGATCGACCTGCTGAGTGAGAGCGGCAGCGGCAGTGCAGCGGATGATGATGATGAGGAGGAGGAGGAGGAGGACGATGCGACTACTACTGGCGCAGGTGGAAACTCTAATGGCACCCCGTCAGGTGGTGCGACAAGAGCAGTACCCAAGGAGGAAGCTGCAGCGTATGCTCAAGAAGGGGGCCTACTGTTTTTTGAGACGAGCGCAAAGACTGGTCAAGGTGTGGTCGAGCTCTTCACCGAGATTGGTGAGTCTGTGCATCGCCGCGCATTGTAGGGATAAGGAATTCACGTGCTGCATAACGCTATCGTTGACGCGCGCAACCACCGCTTCCGCCTTCTGCTCACCCTATCATTTCACAGCCAAAAAGATTCCCATCGACCAGATCCAATCACAGCAGCAGCGCAGCGGCAATGCCAACGGCAACGCAGCTGGGGCAAGTGCGAGCGCAGGTCAAGGCGGATTGCGGTTGGGCCAGAATGATGCTAGAGGCGGTGCTGGAGAGGGTTGCAATTGCTGAGGCTGGTAAATGATGGTAGTCTGTGCAGCGATGCTTACATCTGCAAGTCGAATCTGGACAAAGAAGACGTCTGCGCGACTTTCTTGAGTGCTCGTCTGGACACACCAACGCGCAGATATAGGCAGTCGCTACACACACTCTCTCGTCAAGTCCTCGACTCACCATTCGCCCCGCCCCTGGCCGCCCCACCTCCTCTGCTCTTGTCCCGCTCTCTTCTGTCTCTCCTGTGTATAGCTCTGTCCGTCGAGCGAGGTCTTCTCTAACGATTCCATGCATACATTTTGACTTGCTGTCTGCTCATCGAGACCTGCAATTCCGACGCGTTCAAGAGCGGCGAGATGCACAACGACCTAGACTGCGACCGCTCTTTCACCGCAAACGTGACCGCGGTTCGACGAGCGGTCTCATTCTTGCGCAAATGCGCCATCGACGTCTCGAGTCGTGAGCGTAATCTCGGCGCGCGCGTGTGCGAATAAAGAGATAAGTCATTGTTTTGAACCGATTGCACCCACTTTGTGTACTAGTGCGAGTGCCTCAATCGGAGCAGTGCTTGTGCTCGCAGTGATCGCAAGAGGAGAGGAAAAGGGGGGCGGCAAAATTCGGAAATCGTCGAACAGGCCCGCAAAGAGGGCAATGTCCGAGGGAGCCGACTGACAGCGAGAATACGCGAATGACTTGTTTTTGGGAGGGGGTTGGAATGAAGTTTTGTGTGATAGAGGAAAAGGTCAAACAAATACAGAGAGTGTGTGACGATGGCCTTGCAAGGCTCACGCCCCATCTTTTGAGTGCAAGGGGCGTTCGGCAGACATTTTGGCTCGATCGGCAGACGTTTTGGTGTGCAACTTTGGCTCAGGTATGGCCGCATCCTGCTTCATCGTCTTCTGCCTTGCTTGTTATCCGCACCGACCGCTGTCACCGGCGGCGGCTCCCTCTCGCTCTCTGTACCCGATTCCAACTCCAAATCCGAAACGTTCAGATTCTTCACCGCTGGTCCCTCGTCCCAATCCTCGACCATCGGACCAGACATATCGTGTGCCTCCTTCAAGCGCGAACGTGGAGATCGGGCATCGGCGGTGCGCGATGACGTGCATGCCGCTGCTGTTGGATGCGCCGCTCCATGATTGACCTCTTCGTCGGGCGGAGAGGAGCCATGAATGGTTTGCAAACTATGTTCACTGGCCAACCTCCGCTTGAGTAGCACGTCCGCATTGTCCAGACTGGAAGTCCTTCTTCCTCTCATCGGTCTGCCCCTCTCTCGCGTTTGCTGTCCACTTATATCTGGCTCGTTGCCCCTCTCGACTTTCTTAGCAGCCTCCGCGCCCTGCTCCTCCACCTCTCTACTTCCGAGAGCTTGGTTGGAATCGAACGAGGGACCCGGAGGAGACTCGGGCCTCAAGCCCAGATGCAGAGCCCTCACTTTACCCGAGACGGAAGTGTGCACCCTGCGAGTTCTGCGACCTAATGCAGATGTGGGTGGCGCGACTGTCCCTTGAGTCGAAGTCCCCGGAGGCGACGAGGCCGAAGAGATGGAGGTGGATGAGGAAGAGGCCCGAGCGTGGCTGCGCGACTGGCGTGGCTTGATGTCTGTAGGAGAAGAGGCGTCGGAGTTGGATGTGGTGCCTTGTCGCCCTCTTCCGTGTGCGGGAGGTGTGGAGCTGGACCGCAGTGTGGATGCATCGAGATGGTGCAGATGTCTGAAGGGAATGGTGTGTGAAGATGGATTGGTGGTAAGCATGATGAGTGGGCAGACGATGGAGCTGGGTGAGTGGATGAGGGGGGTATTTTGACATGGGCCTTTTGAATGCTACTCACGTGAGAACGTGCTCTCTCCTCTTGTCGATGTTCCCCTTGCTCACGTCGATGCGCTTCACCCTGAGATGGGAATCTGCTGCTGCTGATGGTGCATCTCCCTTTGCAGCATCGCCACTTGCCGAGCCTCTGGATCCACCAGCAACAGCAACAGCAGGGTGGGATGCAGATGTGGAACCGTAGCCGCTCCCCACGCCATTGCGGTCGCGGCCCCTTGTTGTTGCGCCTCCTCTCGAAGCATCGCTACTGTGACCATGCCCGCTCAGTAGAGCTCTACCTTCGTCGTCATGATCCGCATCTGAAGCGTGCGATTGATCATCTGCTGTGCGCCTGCGACTTGCCAGACATGGGCATATGTGGTGGAGTAGTTGGGTGGGAGTGCAAAGCATGACCTTGCACCGCCTTCCCCACACTTTTGGCAGCCGTGGCTTGCTGGGAGCGCAAGGGAAGAAATACCTGAGTGTATGCGTGTATGCGTGTATGCGTGTATGCTTTCGCGAGAGAGAGACAGAGAGAAAAAGAGAGAGAGGATGAGGTCTTGCGAAGCAAAGATGTGTCGGTAGCGCTTGCACGGGTGGGCAATCTAGAATTGCTGGTTGGGGGATGAGGTGTATTGAATGGTGGAGCCGGTGATGAGAGCGAGAGTGAGCGAGTGAGCGAGTGAGCGAGGTGAAGGTGGATGGATGACGCGGTGCGATGGCTCTCAAGAAGAAAGCCATCGGATCCGCGGCTGGCTGGCTGGCTGCTATACACGCGGTCTATAGCTGCTGCAGTCACGAGTGACGAGTGCTCAGTCCTGCGCGAGCCATGGCATGGCGGGCGCCCTTCTCGCGCTCTCAATGTGAATTCTCTCCCACACGCGCGGCCGGCCCATCCTTTCTATTCGATCGCTCATCGTGAATATCGTCAGCACCACGCAACGCAGCGCAACGCAGCGCAACGCAACGCAACGCCGCGGCCCCCTGAAGTTTGCCGCGCACGCGCTTCGACACAGCACCCATGCACGCAGGTGTGCACCCATGCAGCACCCACCCACCCAGCACAAGACCCACACTCTGACTCCTGACTCTCCAAACATGCAGCTGATGCAAGAACCCCGCATGCACGCGCAATTTGAATCCAGAAAACCCATCAAATTTTTCTGGCGTGCAGAGATCACGTGATCGGCCAGAGTGGGTCGCGTAAGAGGTGATTTTCGCGCCCGCACAGCAATCACATCAAGAATCACGAATGCGATGCGTGACGCGCGAAGTCGCACCAGGCGCAATTAAGCAAGAGTCGCGAGTCGCGAAGGTCACGATCAAGAGTTACAAGTCGAAAGAGATGGATGGATCAGCCATGCAGATGGTGAAAGTCAAGTCGAATTGCAAGCAAGCAGCCCTCTCGCCACTCACATTCCTCCACACATCCAACCATCACACCTTTTGCAGTTCAAGTTCAATTGAAGCTCAAGCAAGCAAGCAAGCAAGCAAGCGACTCTCATCTGCCTCTGTCACCTTCCTCTTTGCAGCGCACACATAGCCGGGCAGAGCTTCACATTGGAAATCACACGATGGATATCGACATCGACGAGGTGGAGCGTGGCGACGCCAGGGAGCAGGAGCAGCAGCAGCAGCAGCAGCAGCAAGCAGAGGGCATGGACATTGACCATCAAGACATTGCGGCTGGCGGTGAGGTTTGACATGCGATGCGATGCGATGCGGCAGAGCGCGTGCGCGTCGCAGGTTCGCAACGTGCGAACGTCACAAACAACTAATGCTGGCGCATTCCCCCCTCTCATCATCACCTTACCCCTTCTCATTCTTCCCCGC